GAAGAAAGCAATATGTACTTTTAAAAGTATATGGGGGGGCAGCTAGGTGACGCAGTGGATAGAGCACTGGCCCTGGAGTCAGGAGGACCTGAATTCGAATCTGGTCTCAGGTACTTGACTCTGGGCAAGTCACTTAATCCTGCTTGCCTCACCAAAAAGAAAAGTATATGGCATATATACAAAAGAAATACAAGGCAACTTCTTTGAGCAGAAGAGCACTCATTAACAGTGTATCTGAAAAGGTTTCATGTAGAAGGTGGCACTTAATCAGGGTTTTGAAGGAAACAAAGGATTCTTATTTCCCAATTTTTAAAAATAGATTTTTATTGATCTCTGGTATTTCACATCACCTGCATTTTCCACTGTTTCCTTCACCCCGCCCTGGAGAACCCTCCCTTATAATAAAGAAGAAAAGAAAAAGGAAGAAAAAGAAATTTCAGCAGAACAATCATGTCCAACAAAGTTTGATGTTCCATGCAGTATTGAGCACCCAGGGACCCTGGCTTGTGTCAGGGAGGAGGGGCAGGTCCTTCTCTTCTTTGGGGCCAAGCTTGTTCTTGACAATTTCATGATGCTCTCGCTCCATTGCTTTGTCCTTGCTGTTCCTTTTACACTGTTGTGGTCGTTGGGTATATGGCGTCCCCTTACTTCTCTTTGCATCAGTTCAGATAAGTCTTTCCATGCTTCTCTCTATTTAGCATATTCATCATTTCTTATACCATAGAAATATTATGTCACATCCATGGACCACAACTTGTATAACTAATTCAAGGTCAATGAAGAAGAAAGAATTCTAAGATACAGAGACAGAACCAGAGATAGGAAGGCAGAAGGAGTATGGGAAGGAGGGGAGAGAGGGAGAGAAACAGACAGAGGCAAAGAGGAGGGGGGAAAAGGAGAGAGAGAAAGAAAAAAGATGGAGAGAGAGAGAGAGAGAGAGAGAGAGAGAGAGAGAGAGAGGAGAGAGGAGGAGGGTAGGGGAGACAGAAGAAAGTCAAGAGACGGTTGTGTTATATGTGGGGTAGTGGAGGAAAAAAAGGACTTGCAGCCAAGACCCTTAGATGTGAATCTGGGCTCTAGCACTCAGTCCATGTGTCCCCTTGGTCAAATTACTTGACTTCTCTAAGCCTCAGTTTCTCCCTCTGGAAAAAGAGGATAATAACACCTGTATTCATAGAGCTGTTGCAAAGAATGTGCTTGATGCACTTTAGAGTAGCATAGAAATATGAAAAGGGAGAATATAAAAAGGTAGATGGTGTGGAGCGATGGATATTAGAGAATTATAGACTACCAAAACAGACAAGGACTTTAGAAATCATTCAGTCCAAATCCCTCATTTCACAGAAGCTAGATCTGAGATCCACGGAGGGGAAGTGACTTCCCAAAGTCACGAAGGGTAAGGACAAGAATGCAGTCCTCTTAGCTTCCAGGCCAAGGTTCTCTCTACTACAGAGGGAGCTTAAGAATTACCTAGAGTATTTTATTCTATACCCCCCCCAGCTCTGACATTTCCTGTTCTAAGGCCCCTCCCAATCCTGACTCCCCTGTTCTAAGGGCCCTCTCAGCTCTGACATTCCCTGTTCTAGGTCTCTTCCCATCTCTGACATTCCATGTCCTAAGGACCCTCTCTGCTCCAACAGTCTCTGTTTTAAGGTACTTCCTACTTCTAATGTTCTCTCTTCTAAGATCCCTCCCACCTCTGACATCCTCTGTCCTAAGAATCCCTTGTTTCATTCATTTCCTATGCTGTAAGATTCTATCTGACTTGGACACTCCATGATTCTTTTCGATGTAAGTGGGAGCCTCCCTGCCGACACAGATGTGACCATTGGGTAGAGGTGAACGGAACTCTGCCTGTTCTCCTGGCTGTGTTGAGGAGGGTATAGGTCAAGAGACAAATGCACACCCATATTTAGGAGTGTTCAAGGATGACCCAACTGAAGGACATCGGACAGGAGCCGAGATGCTCTCCATTGTCCTTCTTCTTCCCTTCCTACCCTGTGCTGCATTTGGTTGCTCCAACAAATAATTCAAGAATTGTCATCGGTGCTTATTAAGCACAGAACACAGTTCTAGCCACACGAGTAGATACCAACTAAATTAGACATGGTCTCTGTCATCATGTACTTTACAATCTGGTTGAGGGAAAGAAGTAGGAACACAATCAAAGTCAATGTGGTGTAGTTAAAAGATCAATTGACCTGAATCAGGAGAGACCTGGGTTTGAATCTCACCTCCCATGCTCAATCCATTAATGTCTCTTAGCCTCAGTTTCCTCATCTGCAAAATGGGGATACCAATAGTATCCTTTTCCCAGAGCCATTGCTGGGATCAAATGAGGTAATGTAGAGAGTTCTTCAAACCTTAAAATGCTATAGAAACATCAGCTGTTATTTTAAAAATAGAATGTGATAAGTGTAGATGAGAGATCATAGGATTTAGAGCTGGCTGGGGACCTTGGAGATATTAAGGATAAATGCCATTTCTATAGGCTGCATGGCAAGGTGGATAGAGAGCTGGGTTGGGAGGCAGGATGACCTGGGAAGTCTGCCTCTGACATATGCTGGCTGTGTGATCCCAGAGACAGTGCCTACAGATGAAAAGTTTCAGAAGAGATGCTGAGTTGCATGGGTAGATGAAATTCATAGGATTATAGATTTGGAATTGAAAGGGACTTTGGAAGAAGCCAAGTAGCCCAATTCCCTCATTTTACAGATGAGCAAACTGAGACTCAGAGAGATTGTGTGACTTTCTCAAGAGCATATAGGCTGTAAGGCTCAGAGGCTGGATTTGAACTCAGGTCTTCTGAGTCCAGAACCAGTGTTCTGTTCACCATACCATTGGGAGGTCTGGACATTGAAGTCACAGATCTGATCTGTATCCCCATTTCTAGAATGTTTTAGTACTTATAAATTGTCTCCAAGACAATCCTATGATCTATGTAGGGAGATAGGGATATGGACTAGACCCATAATTTCTTTTGTGTGGGAAATTCCCTGATGAAGAAACTCCCTCTGCCAATGCAGATTGGTACCTTCTCTGCAACTTAGTTACCTAGAGCTTTGGGATATTAAGTGACCTGCCCAAGGTCACACAGCCAGTATGTGTCACAAGCAGGGCTTACACTCAGGTGTTCCTCATTCCAAGACCAGCTCTCTGCCCATTAAACCACACTGCCTTTCAAGGTGGTGCCAGTATAATTATCTCTTTTTTACATCAAAAAAACTGAGGCACAAGGCAGTGAAGTGACTTGTCCAGGATCTCAAAGCACAGGCTTGAAACCCATTCTCCTGTCTCCAAGGCTAGGACTCTTTTCACATTGTCTCCATCCCATTTGACAGATCACAGGATGTTAAGTCTAGAACAGTTTCTTAGGCTGGAATTGATAACTTGGTTATTTTATTTCTTTGTTCGTTTTACATGTTGATAACTATTTTAATATAATCTGTTTCCTTTGTAATGTTATGTATTTTGTGCATTTAGAAACATTATGCTAAGAAGGGTTCCACAGGCATTAGCAGGCTGCCAAAGGGGTCCAGGACACACGCCCAGAAAGTTTAAGACTTCCTTCTGCTCTAGAGCAGTAGAAAGGGCCAGGGAAGTGAAACCATATGTCCAAGGTCAAACGGGTAGTATCTGTCAGAGGCAATATTTAAATCCAGACCCATGGTGGGAAGAATCAATGCTCTTTCTATTGTACTACAGCTGCCTCTGGGGCGATAGTGGGTCTGCATCATTAGGTCTAGTCAGTCAGTCAACAAGTATTTATTAAGTGCCTACTATGTGCCAGGCGCTGTGACAAGTGCTTAAGTTACAAAGAAAGGGGAAAAAATAGCCCTTAATTGTAGTGGGTGCTTACTAAGCGTAGAAAACTGTTCTGTGAGATGAGGCATAACTAGCAACATAAACATATCCACATTAATACGTGTGTATCTATGTAAATATACAGATCTGTGTGTGTTGTGTATGTATGTGTGTGTGTGTATAAATATATACACATATATACACACAGATATATATTCAGCATCATTCTTAGTGGGGGGGGCTGAGGTTGGAGGGGGTGCCATTAGAGTTGAGACTTTCAGGGTAGGGAAGATTGATGCAGACTTCCCACGGTGGGAGCTCCTGGAGGGGTATGAGGGTGGGGGTGGGGGGATGTCCCCCCAAGGGCCTGCCTGCCCAGATACTGGCTGTCAGTGTTTTCCCTGGGTATCCCGTCCCCAGTCCCCCAGCCTGGCTCGCAGCAGGCGGGAGCTGCCCGGGGCGCCCCCACCCCCACCCCATCCCTCTTGGAGCGAGATCGCAGCCCTGTGCTTTTTCCGACTGGAAGGCCAGTCTTTAAAGAGTTAAGCAGTAGGTAGTGCTGTAGGCCTGCTGAATAGAGTGGCAGTGGAGGCAGCCGCTGCAGCAGCAGCAGACGAGAGCAGAGCCAAGCAGAGCAGAGCCCAGGCAGCCCGATAGAGATGTTAACTAAGCGAGAGCCCGCGAGCCTCCCGCCGGAACATCAGTAGCCGGGCTACAGCCTCCGCGCCTTGCCCGCGCCCCCTGCCCACCCCTCGGGCCCCCGATCGGTGGCACAGGCTGCATCCCTGCGCGGGCAGGCGGCTGCCCGGGATGGGCGCGGGCAGGCGGCTGCCCGGGATGGGCACGGGCTCTGCCCCCTGCCCAGCCTCGGCTGCGTGAGTGGGAGGCTGCTGCGGTCACCGCTGTAGCCGTCCTGGCTCGGGGGGCGCCAGTGCTGCTGCTGCGGCTGCATTGGGGGGCGCAGGCCCCCCACCCCATCTCCGCTGCTCCCCACACTTACTTTTCCTCCCCCTGCGGTTTCTCGCCCGGGCAGGGAAAATAACAGTGAGCTCAGAGCTCAGCTGGGGGAGAGCTAGCTTCTGTCTTTTTTTTTCTTTTAAACACACACACACACACACACACGCACACAATTGCACACACACGAATACGCACACACGCGC